TGAAGGTGGAAGGGCACCAGCCAGAAGGCATTTGCAACTACATAAAAACACTTTTGTTGCACACATATGCCAATATAAGTACCAAACACAGGATCCAGTGAACAAGCAAACATTACAGGCAAGCCCCACTAATGCAGGGTCCAGGTACAGTTCCCTAGAAGTACATCAAGGAACACTGATCCAGAAACTGCTAGCGAGTTCTGAGGCAATAAGCAGTTTGCTCTTCGTATAAGCGTCAGTAGTAGAATTAAAGGACTGGTGCAGAAAACTTCTCCAGTGGAGAGGAGGTCCATAACCTAAAAAGGACATTACCAATACCTTGGAGTGTTATGGTGTGGGTGGGGTTAAATGAGGGTGATACCAGCAAACCTTTTGCCAGTGTCCTACTACCTGAAGGTAGAAGCATATAACCCATGACCAGAGGTTTTGTCCTGTACTGTACAAGATACACAAGTAGGAGGCTGCTAAAATGAGATCAATGGACTTCATACCATTGAGTATAGCACATATTCAACATTGATATGCAATTTGACATAATACAGAGTATGAAAATCGTAATAGGTACACCGGGACACATCCAATTATATAGGGGGGGGGAGGAGCATACGTTAAAAGTTTTTTAAGTAAATGTTCAGGCACTGATAAGCAGTAAAGTCTTAAAACTCAGAAAGCCAAAGCCATATACAACTCTAATATAGACACACTCAGCCAGGAGAATGGACAGCATTATGCTTTTATAAAATGGGTACACAAATCACATGTTCATCTGTAATCCAACCTCTAAATAGCTGGGAGGAGCATTTCTCTTAAAATGAAACTTTAGTCTGAAAATTAAGTCCTGATAGTTAACTTCAAAAGGGGCCAGCATGAAGTAATTATGTAAAACATTAAAAGAAGTGACCATACCATTTAAAATCCAGTAATGCAGTGCTCTACACATCTACAGTTCTCCATTCTTGGCAGTGTGCCAAAAATCAAAGCCACTAGAGGCCGATCTGCGGACAGCCTAAAGCTTTACTGCTGCTCAGGGGCTCTGGACTTCAGCAAAATGGCAGCTTTCAGCAGGAAAGGAAACACGAGAAATGCTGACAGGAATTTACAGCACATGCTCGTTTTGGTAGCATAATTAGTGTGGTTTACAGGTAACTCCTGCAGATGTAGGAGAGCTGAGGAAGGAGAGTACGGCAGGCCATAGATTTTGGGATTTTCTTCCTGAAGGAAAGAAAATCACTCCATTCCTCCCCCCCCCCCCCCCCATCAACAGTGTCAGTATTGATGGGGAAATCCCCCCTGTGGAGCTATTTTCTCCTGGCTGGGGGGCGCAGGGAGCTGTCCCTGTTGGGAGAACACGATTACTGATAGCGGCTATAGTCGCTGGCAATAATCACATGCCAAAAATCAAATATGCTGATTGTATCCAAGTCAATCGATGGATCAAATCTCGGCCAGTCCTGCTGAACTGACAGAGATTCAATCCATCTATGCCCAGCTTAAGTTAGTTTACCAGCAGAGGAACCAGAGAAATAAGGATTATTTTCCAACTTGCTTAGTAAACTGTTCTCCTGACAGCAACTGGTTAGCTGTTATCACAAGACATGATATCATTAACTCTCGTTAAATGTTTGAGGGCACTCTATGGTAATGTGATAACTGCAACTGAAAAACACTAAGGCCAAATTCACAAATTAGGTAGCAGATTAAAAGGAAAGTATGGGCATTTGAAGAAAAGAAAAAAAAAAAAAAAAAAAAAAAAAAAACAAAAAAAAAAAACACCCACACCAAAATACATCTATACTCACATCTGAGACAGATGTCATATTTGTGGCACTCACGTCCTTTCAGTTTTTTCTGCATTTATAAACCAAATCTTTCTGGGCCAAATATTGGATCTATGGTTGGCTGGTTTGATGGGAAAAAAAAAAAAAAAAAAAAAAAAAAAAAAAAAAAAAAAGGGGGAGGTTGGGCTTTAGCACCCGACAGTCGCCGAGTAACACTGACAGGGGAGAGACCTGTGTGTAAACACCACAGGTCTCTCTTCTGCCAGCAACAACATGCTGCTGTGTATTTCTCTGCATAGCAGATAAATACACAGCCGCACGTTTCCCAAGTAAAACACACACAGCACATGTTGTAAAACAGCACACACTTAACCCTTTGATTGCCTCAGATGTTAACCCCTTCCTGCCCAGTGCCATTAGTATAATGTCAGTGCTTTTTATTAGCACTGATCACTGTATTAGTGTCACTGGGGATGTGGGTGGCAGTCAGTTCCCACCCAGTGTCAGAATCCCCACCACAGTCCCGCAATAAGTCACTTATCACCACCAAAAAAAAAAAAAATTCCAGTAGATATACTGCCATTTGTAGACGCTAGAGCTTTTATGTAAATCAATGAATTTACACATATTGGGATTTTTTTTTTTTAGAAAAGACATGTAGCCGAATACATTTTGGCCTAAATTTATGACGAAATTAGATTTTTTGTAATGGATATGTTTTCTAGCACAAAGTCAAAAATATTGTTTGGGTTTTTTTTTAAAAAATTGTCAGTGTTTTTTTGTTTACAGCACAAAAAAAATAAAAATAAATAATGCATAGGTGATCAAACACCACCAAAAGAAAGCGCTCTGTGGGAAAAAAGGACATAATTTCATTTGGGTACAGCATTGCATGACTGCAAAATTGTCAGTTAAAATAATGCTGCACCATATCGCAAAAAATGGCCTGGTCAGGAAGGGGGGTAAATCCTCTGGAGGGAAAGTGGTAAATCTATTGGCTGAAAGGAAAAGAAAAAAAAACAACACCTAACTCATCTATGGCCTGCCTAACTCTAGTGAGGAAGAAAAATACTTTAGCAGACACAGTAGCATTCTTAATCTAGAAGCAATACAGGTTTCCAATTTTCATTTGCACTGCCACAACCAACAACACACACACACACACACTATTGATAAAAAGCATGAAAGCAATTCTTCAAAATACTTGCACCAAGCATTTCTCCACTATTCAGGTAAATACCAGTATGCTTCTATAATCACATTGTTGCCCTTATATCATATTACATAAAAAGGGACTGGCTTCTGAATTTCTAGTTCTGTAACAGAGTATGCAAAGCTCAAAATCAATTATTGAAAAGGTAGTATAGGGAATTAAAACTGGAGCAGACAGAATCTGGAGCAGCTGTGCATGGCAGTCAGTTTAATATCAGTCTGCTCAGTTAAGCTTTGAACAGGAAAGATAGAAGCTGAATGGTTGCCATGCACAGCTGCTCCAGATTCTGGCTTCTCCAGTTTTGATTAACTGCCGTATTGTACTCTTCATTAATACAAAAGCTCTATTTTAGCACTGCACAGGTCTTTGCCTGCATTGGTTGCTGGAACCTTTGAGCAGGTCCACCTCTACCCTTTGCATGTCAGCCTCAGGCAACTTCCCTACGATATTTTCCTGGAGCAAATGTCTAAATAGGTTTATTGAAAGCAGTACTAAAAATGTCAACAAAGCAGAATGCCCCAATGTCATTTGATCCTGCATTAGTTCAGGAAGGGTCAATGGACTAAAAAGTATGGTACACTCATGTTCTATTGAAAACTACAGGTCTGTCTGCTGTAGTGGCAGAGGCAAGGACTTGTATGTTCGTATCCAGAATATGTCTGTACATGAAAGCACTACATTTATAGGTCAAGTTTTTTTTTTTTTCTGCCTTCCTCTGGATCAGCTGTGGGTATAGGATTGTGTATATAGGATTGTATACATTTTTTCCCTTTTTATTGGTTGAACTAGATGGACTTGTGTCTTTTTTTCATCCAGACTATGTACCATGCCTGAATAAATGACGTGGTTGTGCAGAGCCCCACACAGCAGAGACCATTTCAAAAGTGAAAGTGATGCTATGGGGTAGAACCCTGGCACAGTGTCCAAGGGGGGGGGGGGGTTGAGGTAGACTTTAATGTTTATGGCTGTGTGTTGAGACAGGAGCAACATTCTCCACTGCATGTCCCATCAAACAGGAAGGCATGATAAAATGGTAGATTCCCTCTTTTACTAGGCAGACCTGATTAAATTGCCTCTCTCAAGGTAAGGGTGTCACCTGAGAAAATAGACTATAAATTACAATGGAAAGTTTGATCAGTTCACACGGTCTTTAAACGGTTGAGAGTGGGAGATCAGGCGTATTAGGACAACCATGAATTTAACAGTTTAGATTAAACGATAAAGATTTCACAGAACTGATCATGTAACCCTAACAGCATGTCAGCCACACCCTAGGCCACAGATATCAGAAGTTTAATTTCCAGTAAACAGTCTCTTCTGACTGTCATCAGCAATGCAGAGCTCCCATAGAGCACAAAACTAATACTGGGTTTAAGTCAAATGCCTTTTGGAATCTCCTTGTTGTGGTTGGTGAGGGTGTTGGAAAGAGTACCAGTCTGCCAGACCTGTACGTTGAATGAATAAGTGTGCTTTTATTTTTTATCCCTTAGCCACAGAATGCAAAGGCAGCAGGGTTCTCTGTCCACCTTGACAATAACAGAACGTTGAAGACAGTTTTTGAAACATTGTATTGCCAGGTGATCAGTACTGATGCATTATCACCAGCTAAGGCTCAAAATGTAGGACTACAACAAGCCTGTGTGCACGTTTGTACTGCAAACAGTAAAAATCAAGAGCATGTCCAGCCATTCAAAATCTCAATAAGCAATATGTCCTTGCTGGATGCATTTACTAAATCATTACAAATCAACACAGAAATTTGCGTTATAGTAAAAGACATCACATACCACTATACCCAATGAGAGCTTTGTCATTCCTACAGTTTGATCAGTCTGCAAATCTCATGACAACACCATAAGATTTTTATTGGTTTTATTTTTCTTCTTGATGTGCACTTCAGAAGCAGTAAGGGAACAATTCAACGTTGTAGTTTTAAAATAATAAAAATTTTGAAGAGCTTGACAGTCTGAATATATCTCACTAGTGATGGAAAATGTGAATGGTGAGATTCATTCCTCAAGTGTGTTTAGCTGTTCCTCAAGTTCATCCAAATCTTCTCCAGTAAAAAGGTTTTCATCAACAGGCACGTCATTAATCAAATTATCTTCTTCATCCTCGTCATCACTTTCTTCTTCTTCTTCTTCTTCAAAGTCACTATGTTCACCATTTCTTATTTCTCCTCCTGATGCTTCACTTAGCTTTATATCTGAAAAGACGTTTTCAGAGTAAACCGTAAGCAGACTTACTGGAACAGCAGTGATTAAATGTAATACAATGTCTTGCAAAAATACTCCTAAAAGAATATTTGTAAATTTGTGAAATCTGTACTGATTAATTGGTAATTTGGGACAAAGGGTAGAAGAGAGCAAGAAAAACTTAAGATGTAGTCTACCTTTTGCAAAATATTAATAAATGAACCTACATTAAAATAACAACACAAAAAGTTTGCATTGGAGCATGCAGAGCAGTGGAACTGGGATTAATACAATGAGATCCATGAATCTCTGCCACAATAACTTTCCATTCACAGATCCCATAAATGGATCTGTGTGGGGGGAGCCACACCAAATTCAAAGAAAAGGAAAAGGAAAAAAAAAAAAAAAAAAAAAAAAAAAAAAAAAAAATAGAAGAATGTGAGGAAAACAAATCCTATAATTTAGGTAAGTGGGGGCAAATGTGACCATGTGTCATGTTACACCCAGGGGCGGACTGATAACTCATTGGGCCCCCGGGCAATAGGGGATCATGGCCAAACCCAAAAAAGCCTATGAGAAAAAAAAAAAAAAAAAGAAGTGTACCAGGGGCATCTGATGGGGCCCCCTACTGACTGACCCCGGGCCCTCGGTTCCAAATGGTCAGTCCGCCCCTGGTTACACCCATATGTAGGGTGTAACATAAAAACGAGACATTAAGTTAACCATGTATTGGCAGGTTGAATGAACCCAGTCTGCCAGATTTTACATGCAATTACTGCTAGTGGCTGTTATGAAGAACACAATTGGCACAAGAGGGATTCCCGTGTCAACACAAAAAAGCCTGGTTACAATATGCCTGACATGACCTAAACACACCTCACTGGGCTTTTTGGTGGCATTGGTGCAGTAAAGGCTTCTTTCTGCCAACTCAACCATGCAACTCATTTTTATGCAAGTATCGTCATATTGTGCTTCTTAACCCCTTCATACATAAAAGAGTAAACCAAATCTTAACACCTAAGCACAATTTTCCAACTCTGATAGGTGTTAGCAAAACCATACATAACATCACAACTACTTTATGCAACCAGGTGGATTATACATTGTTTTTGTCAGGACAAAATTGGACTTTCATTTGGTGGTAAATGGTAATGGATATTTTTTTTTTATTACCAAATGAAAACTAGCCCAAAATGGTAAAAAAAAAAACAAAAAACAAAAGAAAAAAAAAAAAAAAAAAAAACCTTTTTTCCCCTTTTATTTATTTAGCTGTATATATCTTGCTACTACCATCTACCACCAAAGAACATCCCAAAATAATTTATCCTGCTTCTGATGATCGCAGTGATGCTTCATGTGTGTATGTAAGTTGTTGTTTGTGCCCTTAAGCTGTATGCGGCAAGCAGCACCTGGTTGTGGCGGGTTTGTGGCGAAATTATGTCCACTTATGTTCCACTTCCGGATTGTGGTCCTAACAGTGTTTACTGGAACATTCAGAAGTTTAGAAATCCTTATGTAACCAATGCCATCAGTATATTTTGCAACAATAAGAATGCAAAGGTCTTGAGAGAGATCTTTGCTTTTACCCATCATGAGATGTTTCTTGTGCGACACCTTGGTAATGAGACACCTTATTACCCCTGGTCCACATATGCGGCCGTGCAGGCACGAGAGCCCATTCATTTGAATTGACTCCTGTGCCCCGTGACACACAGGGAAGAAGTCCCTGCACTTCTTCTGAAAACACAGCCCGCACAGGAACCTCGATTCCCAGTACAATTGCGTTTTCCAGTGCAGGCGACGTGCCATTAGAAGTAATGACACCCGCGGGGGACCGCATTCCTCTGTGCGGGTGGTGCGGCTGCACAGATTTTCGTGCAGATCCGCAGCCGCACCACCCGCCCATACGTGAACCTAGCCGTATAGGCCATCAGTTGAAACTGAACCAGCTGATATTAATTTGCACTGACAAGGGGCAAGATTGCTAATTACTGACAGATTTCATCTGGTGTCTTGGCTTTCCATGCCTTTTTGCACCTCTTATTCTTCAAGTGTTCAATACATTTTCAATGTGTCATTCAATTTTTATAACACATAAAACTTTATCTATGAACTTATTTGTTTTGGTTTCTCTGTATGTATGGATTGCATGGGTTGACACACACACTATACAGTGCATCCAGAAAGTATTCACAGCGCTTAACTTTTGCCATATTTTGTTACAGCTGTATTCCAAAATGGATTAAATTCATTTTTTTCCTTAACATTCTACAAACAATACCCCATAATGACAATGTGAAAGAAGTTGGTTTTGAAATCTTGGCAATTTATTAAAAATAGAATACGAAAAGAAAAAAGAAACACATGTACATAAGCATTCACAGCATTTGCGCAATACTTTGTTGAAGCACCTTTAGCACCAATTACAGCCTCAAGTCGTTTTGAGTATGATGCTACAAGCTTGGCACACATATTTTTGGGCAATTCCTCCCATTCTCTGCAGTACCTCTCAAGCTCCATCAGGTTGGATGGGGAGCGTCGGTGCACAGCCATTTTCAGATCTCTCCAGAGCTGTTGAAATCAGTTTCAAGTCTGTGCTCTGGCTGGGCCACTCCAGGGCATTCACAGAGTTGGACTTCATGGCTTGGTTTGTGCTCTGACATGCACTATTAACTGTGGGACCTTATATTGACAGGTTTATGCTTTTCCTAATCATGTCCAATCAACTGAATTTCTCACAGGTGGACTCCAATCAAATTGTGGAAACATCTCAAGGATGATCAGTGGGAACAGGTTGCACCAGAGCTCAATTTGAGTGTCATGGCAAAGGCTGTAAATACTTATGTACATGTGTTTTTTATTTTCGTTTTCCATTTTTAATAAATTGCAAATATTTCAAAACTAACTTCATTCATGTTGTCATTATGGGGTATGGTTTGTAGAATGTTGAGGAAAAAAAAAATGTAATCCATTTTGGAATAAGACTGTAACATAACAAAATGTGGCAAAAGCATGTATACACACACACACATACACAAGCACACCAACTTCCAGGAAGGGTGTGTGTGCATAAAATGTAACATCCTACAAGTCTGCAAACTCTCAGATCAAAGCCACAGCTTTTGAATGTGGATATCTAAAACTAATCTTGGTGGTTGCACATAAAAACGTAAATGCTAAATTTACCATGGTTGGAGAAGAAGAAACACTACGCAAACTGTTTTTTTCTTTTTCAGCAGTTTTCTCATTAATTTGCAGATTGATTAACATTAACTTACCCTCTTTATCTGTCGATGTGATATATGTGCTGAAACGTTCATTGCTGGCTACTGTTATTCCAGTTTCATCAACATCTTTCAGGACAAATCGACTGAGATCAATATCCTTAACATCTGAAGTGTCAGTCTTTAAAAGACACAAAGAAACAAACTAAGATTTTTCAGAAAGATCTTTTTCACAAGTGTGTTTAAGTACTTTGACTATTTGCATTGCTGAACTTAAACAGATAACACATTTTTGAATAAAAGGTACCTTCAAATCAGAGCAATTACTGAAATGTTTCTGTAATGGAGTTCAGGCACTCTGGCAAGATCCTATTTAATGTGATAAAATAATCTCTACAAAATAAGTGTGGCAATAAGTGAGTGCTACTAAGAGTGTTCCACTCCAACAGCAGGAGCCAAAAGAAAAACTGGTACATATGGGCATGAAGTTGCATGCGTCTTACTCCATATAACAGTAATGAACCAATCGGCACTCTCTTGAGTTCCAACTCCAGCGACTTGTTACTTACAAAAGGAAATACCTTTGCTCCAGGTGGCAGAACAGGGCAGCGGGGGAACAAAAGGAAGGTATATTTATTCTGCTTAGGAGGGGTAAATTCAAAGGACCAGTTACCCATGTACTGTGTGGGCAAAAGCAGATTCACTTTGAAGAGTAAAAAGGAAAAACATGATTTTTTCTACATACTTACCTGTAAAATCCATTTCTTGGAAATACATCACGGGACACAGAGCAGGACATAAAAATGGCTATGTGGGATGTTCCAAAGCAATAACCTTGAGGGGCAGGTGACATCACAAGAACCACCATCAACATCCCAAAAGGGATTCAGTGGTTCGTAAAACACGGCGGCCAAAATCAGAATCCTTCATGGCTTTGACATCCACCTGCTAAAACCTTGTGAATGTATGAACCAAAGACCATGTAGCAGCCTTGCAAACCTGATCAACTGACGCCTGGTGGCGGATAGCCCAAGATGCCCCCACACTCCTGGTAGAGTGTGCTTTCACCGAAAGGGTGGAACCTTGCTCTTAAAACCATAGGCTTGAATGACATCCAGGGCATGCAAAGATCTTTCTTCTGCCGACTGAGCTCTCAGAAAGAATGAAGGCAGAACAATGTTCTGATTGAGATGAAAACTAGAAACCACCTATGGCAAAATGAACGGATGAGGCCATAACACTACCTTATCCTGATGTATGTAAAACCAAAAATGGTTCCGTACAAGAAAAAGCTGCCAGCTCCAATGCCCTTGTTGCAGAGGTGATTGCCATCAAAAACAGAACCTTTGGAGTTAGCAGAACGGAATCTCTCTGATAGATTCAAATGCTGGGTTCTATAAATCTGCCAAGACCAAGTTCAAGTCCTAAAGGACACAGAGGCTGTCTGACAGGAGGAACAGTACACATCACTCCCTGTAAAAAAAGTAGGAACCAAAATAGTGAGAAGCAATCGGTCTTTGGAAGAAAACAGCCAAGGCTGAAACCTCACCCTTAATAGTACCAACAGCCAACTTCTTTTCTGATTGGAGAAAATACAAAATTCTCCCATTCATATTTCCGGGGGTGCCAATTTCAACCTTCACACCAAGAAATATTTGCCTTCCAAGTTCTATAATAAATGTTCCTAGAAACCAGCATCCTAGCGTTCAACATTGTGTGAATAACAGAGTCTGACACTCCCCTCTCTTTCAAGATTTGGGTCTCAACAGCCATGCCATCAAATTCAACAATCGTAAAGTTGGGTTCAATATAGGTCCCCGAGACAGCAGGTCTGACCGATCTAGCAGAGGCCCTGGAGCGCCCACTGCTAGCCTAACAATGTCTACGTACCAACACCTTCTGGGCCAGGCTGGTGCCACTAATATCACAATGACCTCGTTTTGAATCAGGCGGAAGTAGCGGCTATCGGAGGGGAAAGCATATATTAGGGGAAAATGATCCCATGGTATCACAAAAGGCAACTACCCAATAACAAGAGGGTCCCGCATCCTGGACACAAACCTGTCCACTTTGCTGTTGAACCTGGACGCCAATAGGTCTACTTCCAGGTACCCTCAATGCTCGCAGATTGCTGAGAGCACCTCGGGATGCAGAGCCCGTTCCCCTGGAAACAAAAATCGCCGATGACTGAGGTAGTCCACCTGCCAATTTTCTATCCCTGGAATAAACACTGATGATAGAACTGGAACATGCCCCTTCTGCCCAAACCAGTATGTGATCTAGCTCCTCCTGAGCACTCTGGTTCTTGGTACCACCTTGGTGGTTGATGTATGCCACTGCCATAGCATTATTGGACTGGACCCAGACTAGCCAACCATGAAGCCTGGTCATCCAACATCTCAAGGCAAGCAACACTGCCCGAAGCGCCAGGGTATCAATAGGAAGGATCTTTTACTGCGGCGACCACGTCCCCTGGACTGTGGTCCCTTCTAGGACGGCCCCCCCAACCCGAGAGGTTGGCATTGGTTGTTACCAGCTTCCAAATCACTGGTGGGAAAGATCTTCCCTTTTCCAAATTCTGAGCTTCCCACCAATTCAAGCTTTGCAGCACTCGCGGGGACAAAGACATGTTGTAATCCAGCGCTGGAATCTTTGTTCCATGCCAACAGAGTATTCCTCTGCAAAGGCCTTGAGTGGAACTGTGCATAAGGCACTGCTTCGAATGAGGACACCATATTTCCCATTAACCTCATGCAGAGAAAAATGGAAGGATACGTCCTGCTCCTCAAACTCTACACCTGATCTCTCAGAGTGTGGCCCTTTCCTGGAGGCAGAAACACCTTTGCCTGAACAGTGTCTAAGACCAGTCCCAAATACTCCAGACTCTGTACTGGCTCCAGGGCAGATTTCTCAAAGTTGAGCACCAAGCCCCCAAGCGTTCCAGAGTATGAATTTCAAGAACCACATTTTTTTCTCAGGCTTCGACCAGACTGACCCGAGAAGTAAATTGCCCAGATAGCCCAATATCGATATTCCCCGAATTCTGAGCAGCCTCAGAATTGGAGCCAGAACCTTTGTAAACACTCGAAGAGCCATGGCTAGTCCAAAAGGTAGTGCCATGAACTGAAAATGTGGAGTTTCTATCGCAAACCTTTGATGAGCTGGAAACATGCAGGTATGCGTCCTAGATGTCTATGGACGCTAGAAAGTCTCCCTCTTGCGACTACTGACCAGACTGACTTCATCTGAAATGACTGAATCTTTAGGAACCGATTCAGCCCCTTTAAATCTAGAAGGTGTGAATAAAATCCAAGGAGCCTTTCGTTCGCTGGAACCTCCAAAATCGCGCCCTGGGACAACAGCCGATCAAGTGCCTGAAACAAAGATTTCCTTCTCAATGGGTTCGTGGATACATTGGACCTTAAGAACCAGGGAGGAGGAATTCCCTGCAATTCTAGTTTGTACCCCTGAGCAACTGTAGCAGTGACCCACCTGTCCTGGATCAGCTCTTCCCAGATTTCCACAAAAGCCAAAAGTCTTCCTTCCACCCACACGAGTGGGGGGGCCCCTTCATAATGAAGCCGACTTGAAATCTGACCTGGCAGGCTTCTGCAGTCAGAGTTTCTTCTGGCCCTGGCAAGTTCCCTTAGAGGCAGAGCCCTGTGCACAATGAAATGTTTGCCTACTGGAAGAAGCACAAACCACAGAAGTGCCTGGCCCCGTAAAAGGTCAGGCGTTTAGACTCTCTTTTAAAGTGTACTTTTCCCCCTCTGAGATCTTCTGGCTATACTTGCCCAGGTCTTCTCCAAACGTTATCCATGAAAGGGAAAACCTGCTAACAATCTTTTGCATGATAATTCCACCACCCAACTCTTTAACCACAAGATCCCGTACATGTGTCCGACAGAAGGGCCATGCTAGTGATCTGCTGAACTGAAACCTTAAGGGCATCAACTGCAAAAACACAAGGCCTGTGGTAAATCTGCCCAATCCACAGCCGTATCCTCCTTCAAGACAGATTGTCTTTTAACCACCCATTTAACTCGGTCATTCAAACTCTGACAGATACTGATAGAAGCAACCACTGGTTGTGCCACAGCCTGTCAGGGGGTAAAAAAAAAAAAAAAAAAAAAAAAAAAAAAAAAAAAAAAAAAAAAAAAAAAAAAAAAAAAAAAAAAAAGGAGGTCTTGAGGAGTGATTCTAATTTTCTTATCTGCCAGATCTTTGAACACTTGGGCATTATCCATAGGACAAGTTAAATGCTTATTCAGGGAAGACACAGTTGCGTCTACCCCCGGCATGCCCCACTTTCTAACAAACTTCTCCTCCATAGGATACAGAAGGGAGAATCTTTTAGGTGGAACAAAAACGGTCTGGGCACTCCCAGTCAGCATACATACCTTGCTCCAACAGAGGATGCACCAGAAATGCCAGAATACTTTGAGGCTCGCAACTTTAATGAGCCCAAAGAGGAATAAGAGACCTCAGATGCCTCCACTGGGGGTAACTTGAGACCTGACTGAACCATATCACCTCTGTGATTGAGAAGCAGAAACTCCATGCTTCTCATCAGGCTGTGATCCTTTGACAAGAAAATAAATTGCCTCTCTTCAAGATCCTCTACCGCAGCTTCATCCTCAGGTTCTAACTACTCTTGATCATAGACTGATGGGTCCATGGATGGATCTTTTCCGTTTCTTACCCCCCTGAGCCACTGATGCAACCAGTCCAGCAAATATGGTCTTGGTCTTCTAACCCTGCTAAGTTTGATGCAAGATTCTTCTTAGTTACATACACCAAAGCGGACGCACCGGCAGCAGCCACAATACCGGACAAATGCAGTGGCTCAGATTGACCTGTTGCCCCTGGTCTTTCAGGAGAGGATAACACAGCGGATCTTTGACTAGGTTCCACAGGACCTGGTGGTGGTGGTGCATTTGCACCCTTTCCTGCTGTGCCTCAACCACACGCTCTTTATGATGAAATTACCTCCAATAGAGTTACAAGAACTGTGTAAGAATTTAATCAAAAAGCACAGCATACACCACAGACCTGCTTAAAAGAAGCAAAAAACACACACCAATACAGTCCACTGAAAGAAAAAAAAATAAAAAAAAAAAAAAAAAAAAGGGGGGGGGGGGGGGGGGGGGGAGTAGTTATGTACACAACCCTCCTGCCTGACTGGCCCGACCAACCCTGCCAGAGGAGTACTCATGTGCCCTTTAGAATAGCCAGTCCTGTTTTCTGGCCATCCCTCCAGGGTTCCACAGCATTAGCAGTAGCGGTGGCAGCAGCAGCTCAAATGTAACAAGCAGCGTCCCCATGTAAACAATATGGCCAGCTTCCTCTTCTTGTTGCTACCTCGCATGTGTCCCCCCATGCCGCGCCTGCTTGTGCATACATGACAAGACCAAAATTAGGTATTACAGGCAGTTACAAGCAAAAATGGAAGCACTCTCCCTGGATGTCCTCCCAGTCAAATATTAACAGACACATTCCACCGCAGGCCCCAGAGCTTTTAGTCAAGGACCAACCTTCACCCATCACGGTGAGTCTTGTCCTAAAGATCAAGGACTTTGTCCCCTTTATTAAATAGGGGCCACTGCCTTGGACCCGTATAGCACCCTGCCGGAAGTGCCTTTGTCAGAACAAACTGCACAGATTTCCGAAAATGCATAGTTTTGCAGGACCACAAAAAGGGCCTGGTGAGATTGTGGAGAATCCATGTCTATAATGTTGAGGGTTTTTTGCACAGCAGAAGTGAGTTTATCCACATTAGCAAGTATGTTGTATGAAGCTCATACTACATGTATAAGAGTGTGGGGGGAGAAAAATCTTTCACAGCCTCCTCCAATACAGTTTCTATATCATTATTTCTTTTGGGACCTGTCTCCTCTGGGGCAGGCATATCGTTATCGGACTAAGGTAAAGACTGGGGAGCTAGAGTAGCCCTGGACCAAAGTAGATGTATTACGGCTATTCGTTTTCCAAAGAATTGTAATGGAGGCAGAAAATTCAGCTTTTGTCAGGAAGACCACTTGTTGTGTGCCCAAGATGCAGAAACTGGCGTTAAAAATAAGTTCCTTCCCTAGTGCAAGGGGAACATCATCACCATCAGATTGAGTGTGAATGTTCACTTGGAGTTTAGCCATGGCTGCCTTTCGACTGGTTTCCACCATATCCACGGTTGCGGGTATGCCCGTGTAGAGTACAAACATAGAAGGATGAGGAATATATGGTAATAGCACCCCTTTTTCTTATGTGTCTGTAAATGTTAATTTATTACACAGCCTGTAGATCCAGCAATACAACAGTACAGAAAACCTCATTGGATATTATCAAAACAAGAGGAAAAAAAAAATACCTCATCCTCATCCTGTTCTATTGTATACTGAGTGTCATCGGCTTCTTCATCATCATCGTCTACAAGCTCAGGTCGGAATTCAAATACTTCACGACCACTGATCTGAGAGAAGAAAAAAAAAAAAAAAAGAAAGAAAGAAAGTAGTAATAAAAATACCTTTTACAAAACACAAAGTTAACATTTTAAATTATTTGAGTTGACCGCATACCCCTAAGGATTTTCCAGCTTTAAAGTCTGCTTTTCTTTTTTCCATCTCTTCTTCAGCTCTAACTATTCGTTCTTCCCTTTTTCGTTTTTTCCACGCAAGAAAAGATTCTAAGGTGATCCTGGTAACATTTGGTCCAAGAGCTGCTCGCTATAAACAGACAGAAAAGTAGTATAAGTCCGTGTGTTGCAATGCTAATAAAATAATTAAAAAAAAATTACTGCTTGCCCTGTGAAAATTCCATATGAATAGGATTTTGCTGTTTTTATAACATACTTCTACTTTTATATACTTTTTTTTTTTTTTCTCTTGAAATATTAACAGGTGTTGCCCCCTTGCTAAGCTATAAAAAGTGGCATACAGGCCATTATTTCAATTCCATGTAATGCAGCATCCAAATTTATGATATTTATCTGACCTGCAATTTTTTTTATTAAGCCTTACAAATTCTTCCATGTGCTTTATCAACTGCATGTTTTGGGATATTTTTATACTGCTTGCATTTCTATACACGTATCATTTCAAAATTTTAGACATAGCCAAAAAAGCTGTCAGATGATCTCAAGAGGCCAAAATGACAATACAGGATTGTCAATTCTGAAATATGTTCCTATGTGCCTGAAAGTCCCTAAAGCCACAAAGAAGACATCGCAGTGGACAGTATCACAGGGGGAACATGGGCTTTGTCTTGCAATAGGTAGAGCCAGAGACCATCTATAGTGTGCACCTGGGATGTAAGGGTTCCCCTTAGAAAATGCATACAAAAATTACAAATATACTTGTAAGCACCATACGATGTCTTCACTTTGAAAGCATTATTACATGAGACAGACAGACACACAAAAACAAACAATCCACAGTTTAAATGGTCAAAATGGCTTTGCAAGCTTTTCTTATTTTTTTTGCCCTTCTTTCTCCCATGTAGGCGTTGTTCGTTTTTACGCTAAAAAGGATTTTTTTTTTCTTAAAAATCAAGTCCAGCCTGTGTTGAAATGAATTTTTGCTTTGTATAGTAAGGAAAAGAAAATTAACCACTTCCATACCGGGCACTTTTACCCCCTTCCTGCCCAGGCCAATTTTCAGGTTTCAACGCTCTCACACTTTGAATGACAATTGCGCGGTCATGCAACATTGTACCCAAACTAAAATTGTATCATTTTCTTCACACTAGAGCTTTTTTTTGGTGGTATTTAATCACTGCTGGGGTTTTTATTTTTTGCTAAATTAACAAAAAAAGACCAAAAATTTTGAAGAAAAAAAAAACCACCTTTTCTTTGTTTCTGTTATAAAAGTTTGCAAATAAATAATTTTTCTTAATAAATTTAGGCCAAAATGTATTCTGCTACATGTCTTTGGTGAAGATAACCCAAATTAGTATTTATTATTAAGTTTGTAGGAAAGTTATAGCGTTCACAAACTATGGTATATATCTGAATATTAATCAATCCTGAAGTACTGACAGCCAATCTAATTTCTTGAGGTCCAAGAATTTCAGGACAGTACAGATATCCCCCAAATTACCACTTTTTGCAAAGTAGACAGTCCGACGTATTTCATAACAGGCATGGCAAGTTTTTTTGAAGTTGTAATTTTTTTGTCATTTTTCGGAAATGAATAAAAAAAAATGATTTTCACTATTTTTTTTTTTTTTACATACTGTCACCAGTGCAGTACAGAATTTTTTTTTTTTTTTTTTTTTTTTTATTACATTTTGTTCTCTTAAGATTTGTTTTTCATATTTCACTGACAAAATTAGTACAATGTTACCATAGTAACATTGTACTACTTTGTGGAAGTGATTTTTTTTTTTTTTTTTTTTTTACACACAAATTTGCTTATAGCAAAGAATTACTTTGCTATAAGCAAGCATTTACCAGAGTGAAATCGATTCATTCAGGATTTTTTTTTTTCCTCAACTGTGATTTGGCCACAGCTAATCACATGACTCAGCTGGGCTGTGATTGGCGCAGCTTGTGAATGTGATCGCTGTGACCATTCACAGCTAGCCACACTTGTATACAATGGATGGCATGATAGGAATCCATCCATTGTATACAACTGTCATGTGACCTACTGTTATTGGTCAAAGCAGGTCACATGGTACCGGCAATGGTGCTGGTACTCAGATCTGTCATCGGCCGCGTCCGAGGTACACGGCTGGTGACAGATCGCGCCGCTGTGTGGCTCTGCGGGCATGCAAACTGCGCATGCCCAAAAGGACGCCATGTGGCGTCCACCCGGAGCGGTGAGGGTTTCTGCCGGTCACCATTCGGCCATAGGCCGGGTGTTTAAACCTCCCCCCCCAAACACACACCCCAAAATAAAAAAAAACCCACATATTTCAATTTACCTCTTTCTCGATCAAGTCTTCTAGTGAAATTTCATCTCTTTTTCTTCTTTCTTTTTGTCTTTCTTTAGCACAAATCCAGGAGGTAAAGCATGGCGATACATACAGGTATCCCCTCCACCAGGGCATACCCAAAACCAGCCATATTTGTTGTTTTCTATAGCTTCAAGGAAAAACTTGCACACCTGAAAAAAAAATGTGCTTAAGATTAACTACTGCAATTTCACCCTCTTCCTATCCAGGCCAAAAGTTTCAGCTTTCAGCGCTGTCACAATTGGAATGGAAATTGTGCAGTCATGCAACACTGTACCCATATGAAATTTGTATCACTTTTTCGAGACAGTGCTTTCTTTTGGTGGTATTTAATCATCACTGGACTTTTATTTTTGGCTAAAAACTAACAAAAAAAAAAAAAAAAAAAAAAAAAATAGACTGAAAACTTTGGGGGAAGAAAAAGTTTTCGTTTTTGTTAAAAAAATTCTGCAAATCAGTACCCAGATTATCAGTGTAAACCATGTATCGACCACCTTGACAGTTATCGGTTCTCCTTTCTTCAGCCACAGCGTGTGATGAAAGGAATACTAATGACCGCCAAGTCTGTCTACATCTGGTCAGCTGTAATTTGACACAGCTGATCACATGGTAAAGGGCCACTGTGATTAGCCCTTTTCCCCAATCTGTGATCAGCCAAAAGAACACAGCAGTCACAGGGCACACCGGATGCACACCCCAGGGACGCACAGGGGACAGGGCTCTGGGAGAACATCCAACAGCGCTGTAGCCGTCTTTTGGCTATAGTGTTGTATTAAAAAGTGGTTAAGTATTTAGTTTCTAGAATTTTTGCAAATATAAAAGGTCTCCTTCCTACACATTTTATATGCTCCCCTCCCCCCCCCCCCAGATTCAAGCTCATCAAAATGGCAAATACATAAAAGCACAAAAGCAAGATTTCCAGAGTACATATAAGAAAACTATACACAAATACATACAGTGGGGATCGAAAGTTTGGGCACCCCAGCTAAAAATTTGTATTAATGTGCATAAAGAAGCCAAGGAAAGATGGAAAAATCTCCAAAAGGCATCAAATTACAGATTAGACATTCTTATAATATGTCAACAAAAGTCAGATTTTATTTCCATCATTTACACTTTCGAAAATATCAGAAAACAAAAAAATGGCGTCTGCAAAAGTTTGGGCACCCTGCAGAATTTATAGCATGCACTGCCCCCTTTGCAAAGCTGAGACCTGCCAGTGTCATGGATTGTTCTCAATCATCGTCTGGGAAGACCAGGTGATGTCAATCTCAAAGGTTTTAAATGCCCAGACTCATCTGACCTTGCCCCAACAATCAGCACCATGGGTTCTTCTAAGCAGTTGTCTAGAAAACTGAAACTGAAAATAGTTGACGCTCACAAAGCTGGAGAAGGCTATAAGAAGATAGCAAAGCGTTTTCAGATGTCAATATCCTCTGTTCGGAATGTAATTAAGAAATGGCAGTCATCAGGAACAGTGGAAGTTAAAGCAAGATCTGGAAGACCAAGAAAAATATCAGACAAAACAGCTCGCAGGATTGTGAGAAAAACAATTCGAAACCCACGTCTGACTGCACGATCCCTCCAGAAAGATCTGGCAGACACTGGAGTTGTGGTACACTATTCCACTATAAAGAGATACTTGTACAAATATGGTCTTCATGGAAGAGTCATCAGAAGAAAACCTCTTCTATGTCCTCACCACAAAAATCATCGTTTGAACTTTGCAAATGAACATATAGACAAGCCTGATGCATTTTGGAAACAAGTTCTGTGGACCGATGAGGTTAAAATGGAACTTTTTGGCCGGAATGAGCAAAGGTACGTTTGGAGAAGAAGGGGCACAGAATTTAATGAAAAGAACCTCTGTCCAACTGTTAAGCATGGGGTTGGATCAATCATGCTTTGGGGTTGTGTTGCAGCCAGTGGCACAGGGAACATCTCACGAGTAGAAGGAAAAATGGATTCAATACAATTTCAGCAAATTTTGGATGGTAACTTGATGCCATCTGTGAAAAAGCTGAAGTTAAAGAGAGGATGGCTTCTACAAATGGATAAATCCTAAACACACCTCGAAATCCACGGGGGATTACATCAAGAGGCGTAAACTGAAGGTTTTGCCATGGCCTTCACAATCTCCTGACCTCAACATAATTGAAAATCTATGGATAGACCTTAAAAAGAGCAGTGCGTGACAGACAGCCCAGAAATCTCAAAGAACTGGAAGACTTTTGTAAGGAAGAATGGGCAAAGATACCTCAAACAAGAATTGAAAGACTCTTGGCTGGCTACAAAAAGCGTTTACAAGCTGTGATACTTGCCAAAGGGGGCAGTAGTAAGATATTAACTCTGCAGGGTGCCCAAACTTTTGCAGACGCCATTTTTTTGTTTTCTGATATTTTGAAAGTGTAAATGATGGAAATAAAATCTAACTTTTGTTGACATATTATAAGAATGTCTAATCTGTAATTTGATGCCTTTTGGAGATTTTTCCATCTTTCCTTGGCTTCTTTATGCACATTAATACACATTTTTAGCTGGGGTGCCCAAACTTTCGATCCCCACTGTACTTATGGACAATGGATCATGTAACAGAAAAATTGTGGATTTAAGGTGATTAATCAGGGAGGGAGGAGGTTTTACAGCATTCACTTTCTTCTACTGGGGCAAAGAGTATACCTTTCCCCAATGACATTTAATAAAACTGTCCAGGGAAAGCACCAAAAAGGCATTCTACCTGCTGTTTAGCAAACCAACATTTAAGTGAAAAGAGTCATCTGCAAACACGTGGAGAGGAGACTCTTTCTGGATATAAGGCATACCATAGGCACAAATATAATCTGTTGCAAAATTGTAGGAACCGATCAGAATGTTGTAGAAGCCTTAGAAATACACCTGGGTCAGACTCAAAAGGTCTGGTAAATGGCCATAAAACGACAATAGTTTTACCTACAGGTAAGCTCACAATACCTGTAAAATTATTATCTCCTAAATGTGCCCCGTTTAGGAGATATTCAGTGCATGCGCTCTGAAGGAACAGCCTACCCGTGCCGTTCGTTTAGAGCAGGGGTCTCCAAACTATGGCCCTCCAGGTGTTGAGGAACTGAAAGTCCAATGAGGCCTTGCAAGACTCTGACAGCCATAGGCAAGAGTCAGAGGATTGATGGGACTTGTAGTACTTCAACAGCTGGAGGGCTATAGTTTGGAGACCCCTGCTTTAGAGCATTGTGCCATGGCTCAGGACTCCCACGCACATGCGCAGCAGTGACGTCATAGCAGCTCGACCAGACAGCTGGAGCTCGCGAACCTGGAAGGAAGACTGGTTGAAGATGGAAGCCTCCCACTTAACTTGACGTCAGATCACAGTAGCAGCAAAAAATAATAATTTGAAATGGCCAAGAGCATTGGAAGATACTTTTTGAGTTAATACATACTAAAATAAAATGGTTTTTAAACCAGGGTTTAGTGTCACTTTAAGTCTAGCAGTTATGCCAGCAGACTGAACCTCCTCAGGCACCAGATCATCCAAAAATGATTAGATTCCCCACCATCTTGAGCTGTAGGTGCGCAAAAGCAGCTGCACGCATGATCAGACAAAGATCTGCATCAGAAGGCATAGAAACATGCTTCCAGCCTATGCATTCTGAGTCAGCAATCATAGTAGTGATCTCTTGCATGAATTCTGACAAGGTCACAGAAAATTCCTCCCTGGGTAACACAGAGGAGGAAGCCATTCTGGATAGAACCAAGGAAGACTCAAGCAGTGAAGAGCAATCCAGGCTGTTATGTTGGGTCCAAAAGGAGAAAAGCTGCAAGCTGTCCCTGAGCCACTGGTGAACAGAGAAGGTGAACAGGTCCACAGAACTGGTGTACTCGCATTTATGACCCACCACATTAGTGTGCAAGTGATGTAAGCCAATAAGGGTATTCAAAAAACCCAGCTGCAGAAGCAGATGAATTGAAACAGATTGCAGTGTGAACGGCCACCCTAAAGCTGGCCATACATAGATTGAAATTTGGCCATATCAGCAGAGACCAGCCAAAATTTCAATAGATTTGTGGCCACTGTGGTTGAACAGAAGTGAATCTACCAATAAACTTTTTCAACTGCCTCGCTTGATTTTAGCGGCTCGATCAACGCTGCAGATTCAACGCTGCGGTGCTGATCCATGTATGCCGATGGTGGGGGAAGTCTCCCCACTGTAAGAATACAAAGACACAGTGGGGAGGATTCCCCATTCATCTCAAAATGTGTGGATCGGGGAACCAGACCGTTTTTTTTTTTTTCGTTCAACCCACTGGTTAAAAGAAAAAACACTGACTAATGTATGGGCAACTAAAGCTGGCTATACATCGTAGAATTCCAGCCGATTCAGAGGAATCGGCTGAAAGTCTAACATTAGTCAAGTCAGCAGGATCCCCCAATATCGATTACATAAAAGGACAAAAGTACAAAAGAAATGTATTAGTGCATGGCCAGCTTAAGAGGCGAGAACACCAAATCCCTGCCAGTTCCAAACTGCTGCAGCATGTAATGTCTTATGCCATATTTAATTTGCTTTAGAAGTACAGCTATTCTTAAAAGTGGTTGTAGATCTCAGACAGTAAAAAAATTTAAACAAAGACATCCTTCTATAGTGTGTACTAGCCTGAATCCAAAGCAGCGAGCGAGATTCCCCTCTGATCTAATTTCTCTCGGCTATCTGAATGAGTCACAGAAAAGACTTCAGGCATCCAAGGAGACAGCTCGCCTCCCCTTCAGCATATAGCAGGGGATTCCATCTCAGCTCTGTATGTTTTTCTATGTCAGTGTGTAGAAAGAGTGTGTCCCCTCCCACCATTAAGCTATCAGACACTCTGTGCTTTAGCTCTGCAGTGTGAGAGATGTCAGATCCTTGCCCCCTGCTTTCTAGAGCAGAGATATGCTGTGTAAAATGTGTGTTTTAGAAGGCTGTAGAGAGGATATGGCTAGAGATAAAACAGGTACATCTTATGTAGGAGGATTTGTTTCATTCCTGTCATCTAAAATAAATTCTGCCTTTTTACAATTGCATGACATTTCTTATCCTACCAGACTTCTTGAAAACAATAATACAGTCAATGTGAGAGTGTGTTCTGTCCCAGACTGCAGAATATTAGGTATACATTATCCAATGGTCGTGTAAAGTTGACATTCTTGTTCAGGCCTCAGAAGTGTATTTTAACATTGAGACAGCATACATATCATCAGCCCAAAATGTCCAACTCTAAGACAGTGGTACCTAAAGTTTGTCTGAAATGTGTCCTGCATATTTTTCTAAAGATTATAAAAATTAGCATTCTTGACCACAACTCTCCTCCATAATAAAATAAACAGGATTAAAATACAAATGCAAGACAGGTTTCAAACGTCTGCACTGCAGTACAGGCCAAGAAAAAAAAAGAAAAATTTACCAGTATTGCCTGTGGTCTAATTGGAAGTTAAAAAACCTTTTGACTTTAGAACCACTTTAAACTATATACTTTTGTCATTTTGCAGTGTAGCTAATAAAATTTCAGAATCATGAATGAGGAGCCCGAATACCAGGTAATAACTTAATGGTCAAAAGACATACTATTTGAGTTTTGGGTTTTATCTTTTCAGCTTCCCCATGTTTCTTGTTAACCACCTCCTCCAACTTCTTCTCATCCCAGTTATCCATTGTATCTGTAAATAAAAAGCCAATCTTAAGAATACATAAAATTACTTGTGGCACCCATCTAGTATTCTGACAAAAGACTAGAATAGCTCACCTTTTTCAAGCTCTTCATCTCTACCATCAACATAAACACTTCTCTTCTCACATTTTCTTTCTAATGACAAGTCATGGGAGAATTTGCATTTGTCACCTTTTGTACACTGTCCTTGCTTGAAGAATGCACAGACAACAGATTTTGGATCAGCACCTACCATATGAAATTACAAAAAGTCACAGATTACACAGGTATATTATGCAAACTTGACAGCACAATAGGAGCAGTGATATACAGTGGATATAACAAAAAAAAAAAAAACAAAAAAAAAAAAAAAAACAGTCTACACACCCGTTAAAATTAACTTTTTCCACCATTAATGTAACTTATAAAACTGTACAACTCAGTTGAACAACAAACTGAAATCTTTTAGGTGGAGGGAAGTACAAATAAAAAATTAAAATAATAATATGGTTGCACAAGTGTGCACACCCTTAACCACTAGCCTACAGGGCACTTATACCCCCTTCTTGTCCAGGCCAATTTCCAGCTTTCAGCTCTGTCACACTTTGAATGACAATTGCGCGGTCATGCAACACTGTACCCATATGAAATTTTTATAATTTTTTTGTGACAGAGCTTTTTTTGGTGGTAATCACCTCTGGGTTTTTTATTTTTTCTTAAACAAAAAAACCACTGAAAATTTTGGAGAAAAAAAAAAAAAAAAAGTTTTTTTCTTAGTTTTTGTTATAAAATTTTGTAAACAAGTGATTTTTCTCCTTCACTGATGTGCGCTAATGAGGCTGCACTGATGGGCACGGATAGGCTGCACTGATAGACACTGATAGGTGGCATTGATGAGGAGGCACTGAAAGGCAGCACTGACAGGTGGCATTTCTGGGGCCACACTGATCATTAGGGCACACTGATCATCAGTGCCCTGATGATCAGTGTACATGTCCCCTCCGCGGAATGCCGATTACTGGCTCTCCTCTTATCTCGAGCTGTCAGCGTGACAGCTCGAGAGGAGAGAAATACCGATTACCGGCATTTCCCTGTTTACATGTGATCAGCTGTGATTGGACACAGCTGATCACATGACTAAGCCGACATCTTCGGCTCTTTCCGTGGATCGGTGATCCGCTGTGTCCAAGGGACACAGCGCACCGCCGATCACCGCGTGCTCCCTGAGCCGCACATGCGTGGTGAGAATGGGAGGACGTCATATGACGTCCTCCCAGAACGAGAGAACCACCTTGCGCCCGTCATTGGACTATATGGCATGCGGGAGGTGGTTAAACTAATACTTTGTTGAAGCACCTTTTGATGTTATTCCAGCACTCAGTCTTTTTGGGTATGAGTCTAGCAGCATGGCACACCTTGACTTGGCAATATTTGCCCACTCTTCCTATCAAAAACACTCCAAATCTGTCAGATTGCAAGGGCATCTCCTGTGCATCACCCCACAGATTTGATTGGATTCAGGTCTGGCGGGGCCATTCCAAAACTTTAATCTTCTTCTGGTGAAGCCAGGTCGTTGTCATGCTGAAAGATGAAGTTCCTCTTCATGTTCAGTTTTCTAGCAGAAGCCTGAAGGTTTTGTGCCAATATTGACTGGTATTTGGAACTGTTCATAATTCCCTCTACCTTGAGTAAGGCCCCAGTTCCAGCTAAAGAAAAAGAGCCCCAAAGCATGATGCTGCCACCACCATGCTTCACTGTGGGTATGGTGTTCTTTTGGTGATCTGCAGTGTTGTTTGTGCTCCAAACATACAGTCAGGTCCATAAATATGGGGACATCGACACAATTCTAACATTTTTGGCTCTATACACCACCACAATGGATTTGAAATGAAACGAACAAGATGGTCTTTAATGCAGACTGTCAGCTTTAATTTGAGGGTATTTACATCCAAATCAGGTGAACGGTGTAGGAATTACAACAGTTTGCATATGTGCCTCCCACTTGTTAAGGGACCAAAAGTAATGGGACAGAATAATAATCAGAAATCCAACTTTCACTTTTTAATACTTGGTTGCAAATCCTTTGCAGTCAATTACAGCCTGAAGTCTGGAACGCATAGACATCACCAGACGCTGGCTTTCTTTCCTGGTGATGCTCTGCCAGGCCTCTACTGCAACTGTCTTCAGTTCCTGCTTGTTCTTGGGGCATATTCCCTTCAGCTTTGTCTTCAGCAAGTGAAATGCATGCTCAATCGGATTCAGGCCAGGTGATTGACTTGGCCATTGCATAACATTCCACTTCTTTCCCTTAAAAAAAAACTCTTTGGTTGCTTTTGCAGTATGCTTTGGGTCATTGTCCATCTGCACTGTGAAGCGGCGTCCAATGAATTCTGAAGCATTTGGCTGAATATGAGCAGATAATATTGCCCGAAACACTTCAGAATTCATCCTGCTGCTTTTGTCAGCAGTCACATCATCAATAAATACAAGAGAACCAGTTCCATTGGCAGCCATACATGCCCACGCCATGACACTACCACCACCATGCTTCACTGATGAGGTGGTATGCTTAGGATCATGAGCAGTTCCTTTCCTTCTCTTCCCATCACTCTGGTACAAGTTGATCTTGGTCTCATCTGTCCATAGGATGTTGTTCCAGAACTGTGAAGGCTTTTTTAGATGTCGTTTGGCAAACTCTAATCTGGCCTTCCTGTTTTTGAGGCTCACCAATGGTTTACATCTTGTGGTGAACCCTCTGTATTCACTCTGGTGAAGTCTTCTCTTGATTGTTGACTTTGACACACATACACCTACCTCCTGGAGAGTGTTCTTGATCTGGCCAACTGTTGTGAAGGGTGTTTTCTTCACCAGGGAAAGAATTCTTCGGTCATCCACCACAGTTGTTTTCCATGGTCTTCCGGGTCTTTTGGTGTTGCTGAGCTCACCGGTGCGTTCCTTCTTTTTAAGAATGTTCCAAACAGTTGTTTTGGCCACGCCTAATGTTTTTGCCATCTCTCTGATGGGTTTGTTTTGTTTTTTTCAGCCTAATGATGGCTTGCTTCACTGATAGTGACAGCTCTTTGGATCTCATCTTGAGAGTTGACAGCAACAGATTCCAAATGCAAATAGCACCCCTGAAATGAACTCTGGACCTTTTATCTGCTCATTGTAATTGGGATAAATGAGGGAATAAAATCACACCTGGCCATGGAACAGCTGAGAAGCCAATTGTCCCATTACTTTTGGTCCCTTAACAAGTGGGAGGAACATATGCAAACTGTTGTAATTCCTACACCGTTCACCTGATTTGGATGTAAATACCCTCAAATTAAAGCTGACAGTCTGCAGTTAAAGCACATCTTGTTAGTTTCATTTCAAATCTATTGTGGTGGTGTATAGAGCCAAAAATGTTAGAATTGTGTCGATGTCCCATTATTTATGGACCTGACTGTAATCTTTTGGAATTATGGCCAAAAAGTTCAAACTCGCTTTCATCAGACCAGAACACATTTTCCCACATGCTTTTTGGAGATTTCAGATATGTTTTTGCAAAATTTAGCCAGGCTTGGATGTTTTTCTTCATAAGAAAAAGGCATCCGTCATGCCACTCTACCCCAAAGCCTAGACATATGAAGAATATGGGAGAATGTTGTCACATGTACCACACAGCTAGTACTTGCCAGATATTCCTGCAGCTCCTTTAATGATGCTGTAGGCTTCTTGGCAGCCTCCCAGACCAGTTTTCTTCTTGTCTTTTCATCAACTTTGGAGGGAAGTCCAGTTGTTGATAATTTCACTGTTGTGCCATATTTTCTCCACTTGATGATGACTGTCTTCACTGTGTTCCATGGTACATCTAATGCCTTGGAAATTCTTTTGTAACCTTCTCCTGACCGATACCTTTTAACAATGAGATCACTCTGATGCTTTGGAAGCTCTCTGCAGACCATGGCTGTTGCTGTAGGATGCGACTAAGGAAATGTCAGGAAAGACCTACTAGAACAGCTGAACTTTATTTGGGATTAATCAGAGGCACTTTAAATGATGGCAGGTGTGTACCGACTCCTATTTAATATGATTTTGAGTATGATTACTTATAACTGAGAATGTAGCTGTGCTCAGAATTAAGAGGATGTGCACACTTATGCAACCACATTATTTTAGTTTTTTAGGTTTACTCTCTCTTTCCCCCCCCCCCCCCCCCAAGATTTGTTGTTCAACTGAGCTGTACAGTTTATAGGTCACATTAAAAGATGGAAAATGTTCTGAAATTATTTATCTATGTCATTTTTTTTACATCACAGAAACCTGACATTTTAACAGGGGTGTGTAGACTTTTTATATCCACTGTACCATACTACATTAGCCAAGGTGGTCATCATGCAACTGCAAAATTCATCTGCACTATTCAATGCAAATCTCTGCCAGTCATCTTTGTTGCACACAGATTAGGCCTGAAATATACTTATATATGATAAATGGCTCAGTGTTTGCCTTTAGAAGACTGTTTTCATAAACAAGATGTCATACAGGAAAAATCTGAAAGGAATAATTGGGCCCAAACATTGCTTCAGTACATATTTCTACAGTGCCTTGGTTAAACAATGAGCCTACAGTAATCTCTTGTATGCGCTGGATTGCCAAGTCTAAGCCATTCACATGGATGCTTAATAACTTCTTGTCTAACTTATACTGTAGACACTATCAAAATGCACTCCGACAAATATTTTAATCCTAATGCCAGTTTAGTTGGCTTGGCTGAAACACTACTGGAATTACACAAAGTGGTTATGCGTGGTCACCATATACAATGTTCCACAAGGAGCATGAAGCAATTCAGATGAAATTTAGCCTGTGTGTTTGTGATATGCCAGAACTTTAAACAATGCCACTCTAGGACAGAATTATTGTCAAATTAAGCGGGGGAAAAAAAAGTTAAAGAAAAAAGAAGAAAAAGGCGTTAGTCACAGCAGAGGTTTTACACTAAAAAGCAATAAAACTGACTCACCCTATGTGAACAAATTAAAACAGAACTATTTTAACCTTCATTCCAGTGCTATGGTATCCCAGGGCTCTCTCACCAGCCACTGCTCTTCAGCCATTATTCTTCTGGGTTCTGACCTTCAGTCATATGACTGGTTTGGTGGAGATGACGTCACTCCGCACAGGCAGAGTACATTCATCTTGGCACTACCAAATACACTGCGGACAGGCAGACAAGAAAATGTAATGCAGAAGAAACATTGTGC